TAGCCAGAGCATACATCGTTGAAAGTAAATTCACACCTTTCACCAATTTTAAATTACAAGGCACTTCCGGTTTCAACCGGAAGGAAGGGTCACATGATTTTGCACATAATATCAAAAATGAAGACCCTGGATTATTCTATCGATTCCCGCAAACGTTAAGTTCAGGTCTCTCACAATTGATTTTCAAAGATCTATTAATCTTTAACGTGACGTCACGTGACCCATGATGACGTCGTGACGTCACTTCTATTTTCATCTATAACACATCCCGGTCTAGGTACATACCAATTTTTAACCTAATCGGACCTGTAGTTCTGGAGATATAGCCCAATCTGTCAGATCTAGCCGAATTCTGCTAGAAAATGGTCACAACAGAAAAATCGCATAAAATGTGACGTTTGACACGTGATGTCTTCATGATGACGTCAATGTTCGGTGATCAACTGCAGATGCTGGTCTAAGTGTGTGCCGAGTATAAAGGCAATCGGATTGATTTTAGTGGCCAAAGTGCCGGTAACAAAAATACGTGTACAAATACTTTGGGCAAAAATGACTGGGAAAAAAAAAAAAAACTAGAGCTATGTCTGTTTGATGAACAGAACATAGGGCTTTTCCATATTTTTTTTTGGGGGGGGGGTGTTTTGTCCATATGCAAGAAGATACTGTAGTTTAGTACAGGACTAAATTCTTCACATATAGGACTTTACACCTTTTAACATGACGTCATATGTCCTGCGATGACGTCATCGTAACAACACTTGTCAATGCAAATGTTTTCATTAGGGTCTTGAAAGAAGGTGTAAAATTTTGTAAGCGGAATAAAATCTTAAATAGTAAAAAATCATACAAATATCAACCGATAACGTCATGGTGACATCATTTCAAATTGAACATTCTTGTGACATTATCTAACTATCCACAAAGTTTCATGACGATGGGAACTTCTGTTATATGTGTTTTGAAAATGTGCGTTTTTGATGATGTCATCGTGACGTCACAAATTAAAAAAAATTGTGTATATACCTATTACCTAACAAACCAAATACAAAAGGAAATTTGAATTTTGCATGTTGCATTAGTGAGATACGGCTTAAAGGTCCAACAATTCAAAAATTCACATAAAATCGCACGATTACGTCATCATGACGTCACCTCATTTTTTATCTTTGCAGATTCAAATCTTTCTCACGAAGTAGTCTGGCTCTAGCTGCATCATCATGGATGCCAACGACAATTCTGTCCTTGATAAGGCTATCAAGTAATGTCCCAAACTAACATGTCTGTGCCTTTTCTCTAGGTCGGTGACAAACTGATCATATGACTCGCCTGGAGCTTGAAAGCGTGTATTAAACACATGTCTCTCATAGCTCACATTCCTTTGTGGCTCAAAGTATTCAGTGAATTTCTTGAGGAGGATTTGGGTGTTTACATAAATGTGGAGGCCAGTGGTATAATGCACATGTTCTTTCCTTTCAAGGGCCATTTCCATGTTAAAATAACCAGCTTGCTAATATTTGTGTTTTTACTTTATTGCCCATATCACTATGTACCCACTGAAATAAAAAAATTAAATCACCACAATGCATTTGTATAATTTTGATCAAAAATTAGCCAGAATTATGACATTTTTAGGTAAAATTGCGTGACATTTTTACAGCTTGTCCAATGGTGCACAGTTTTCATTTTTTCAATTGATAAATTTGGTCCTTTTTAATTCTAAATGATTGATGATAACCCAAAACTTAATATTAAACACAATGTTCGTACATCGGCAACTTTGTATCATTTTGACATGCCCGCTAAAAATACCATCACTCTGTAACATTTGGTGTCAGCAAATCCTGTTACAGAGTGAACTTTACCATTGATTATAATATTTGTAGAAACTGTCAACTATTCTAAATTTTAAGTGATTATTGAAGTCTTTTATTAAATAAAGAGACTAAAGAAGACCACAAGTGAAATTCAAAGAAGTACAAGAAATTTACCAATTTTAAATATTGGCAGATCCATTTGGTGTCATCAAAAAACGTTACAGTGTGATACTTTGCAGCTGCACTCTGAATTTGTCAAACTGTATTTGTCAACAAGTTTAACTAAAAATATATCCTGGAGATTGGCTTGGAATATAGATGTCATTACATTTTGAATCCTTCTCTTAGAATTTGAAATAAGAGGCAATAAAGGTTTGGTGTCAACACTGACTCCGTTACAGGTGAAATACCTCTTTTCAGCTGAAACAATGAAGCAAAAGCACCTGTTTGATTGATGATTGACTTTTTAGCTAAAATAATGACTAAGTTTTTTAATACAATGAAAACTTTGGCATAGGACAGGTTAAAGTAGAACTACAGTGAAGAAAAGTGATAAAAGTGTTTTTGGTGTTGGTGTAAGCATTACAGGTGAAATGATTATTATAACAAACTAAACTTCCAGTCTCAGAAACAAGTATCTGATGTAGAAGCCATCAAGCTTATCACTAAATAGAAAGGTTTAAATGGTTTGATACCATTTATTACTATTATTATTAGTTAGTTGTAGGATTGTCACTCTGTAACAGTGACTATTTGGTGTCAGCGTTACAGGTGAAATGTTGGTTAACACCAGGCTTTACTTACAATAACATGCTTTCTAGTGGTGTTTGTAAATCTTCATTGCTCTTCATAGTTGCAGTTTTGGCTGTCAAACTTGCTGTTAGAGAACAAGTGAGTGTTTGTCTTAAAATAATATAATTTTATGTCAAGTGAGAGCTACATTTTTGTAATCATCATAATATGTCAAATTTCCTAAAACTTGATATTTGATTTTCAACAAATGTTGGACAAGGATAGTGTTAAAGTTGTTTTTAACTTATATGTGTTGCAAATAATTGCTTAAAAAGCAACATGTATTTACCATACCTGAACAATAACCTGGTGAGAGCTCTAAAAGAAATTAACAATTTGGTGTCACTGTTACAGGTGAAATTTGTGTCCCAGATGCTAGTTTATCATGTTGCTACTCTAAAAAGGGTCATGTTACAGAAAAATGGTTTTGTTTTTGACAAAATATAGACCCTAGACTGCAAAACCATGTGAAGCTGAATTTAATTTGGTTATTTTGAAAATTTGACCCTAATGTCACACACTGGCCTCCACATTTATGTAAACACCCATTTCTAGCTTGTCTCGATCCTCATCACTGTCAAATGTGAAGGAATTGTACACTTCAAGTGCTTCTTCTCCAATGACATGCAGCAAGGTGCAGCACTGCACATGCATCAATTTCTTCTCCATACCTGATGCAGTCATATACAGCTGAAATCTCTGCTTCCATTTTCTCCAATTTTCAGCATTATGTCCATCCATTCTGAGTCCATCTGGGGGCCTGATGTTATCCATGCTTAATGAGGTTTGTCAAAGTTTACTTCTGACACCATGTAATGATCGGATGAATCGGATTGAATATAAAGCACACTTGAGATGTTTCAGCTAGCTAAGAATAGTGTATTGTGTCTAAACAAGATGGCTGCCTACATGGACTACACACTCACATGGTTATATGTGTTGTGATGGTGAAATAAGGTGAGACGGTAGCTTTATTGCCCTGAGTCCCTAGCGCGCATGCGCTGTACATGAACAACATGAATATGCATATCTCTACATCCCCCTCATTTTGAAATATTGATTTTGCATATGAACTAATGAAGGTGTATGCTTAAAAATGATTTACCCTTGGTAATTGAAGAGTGTCCACTTTAACAGGAACAAACTAACACTTGTACTGCGTAACACTGAAGTATAACATTTAAAGGTCAATAAAGAACAAACACTTGGTGAAACAGATGCTTCAATGGAAGTTTGTAATAAAACAAGTTAGGTCTGAACATATCTGGCTGGCAGTTTGGCAACCCGACCAGATCGTGTAGTTTTAGGCTTTTGCAGAAAATCTTCTGCGGCATTGGGCCTCGCTTTTGGTTTTTGGACTTTTGTTCCATCAGTGGGTTTTTCAACCTTGTGCTGGTCATAGCCTTGCGTTGGGAAGAGTGTGCGTGGAAGTAGTTTGAACTGAACACGCTTTGGTTGCTCAACCGCTGCAGTTGCCGTGTTCTGCTTGCGCAATATGGGCTTACTATGCAGTTCGTGCAGATGCGATCGGTTTCGCCGGATGGTAGTTTCATTGGGCGTTTTGACTTCATAGGACCTGGGCTCTTTGCAGACCTTGGTCACTTCTCCAGGAATCCAAGATTTGCTCAGTTGGTCCAATATGCGAACTTTCTGTCCGACGTACAAGGGAGGTAGATTATCGCCAGCATGTTGGTCATGGTTGGTTTTCATGCTGTCCTTGCGTGATGCCAGACGGTCGTTGTTCTCCAACGGTTTCTGGGTGGTAACCATAGGGTTGTTGCTCGGTAGTGTGGTGCTGATTGGTCGTCCGAATAGGATTTCTGCCGGGGAGGGCAGATGAGCATCGATTGGTGTTGCTCATAGGTTGAGCAATGCCTTCTTGACATCCTGGTGGGTCTCGTGGCACTTTTTCATGACGGACTTCACGGTTCTGACTGTTCGCTCTGCCATCCCATTCGAGCGAGGGTATCGAGGGGAGGAGGTAACATGTGTAATGTATTGTGCATGACCGGAACTGTATGTTGGAACTATATCACTTATGCGCCCATTGATAATCAACTCAGTTATGACGTCAGGTCACGTGAGCATAATAAATCACCTTTCCAATATGGCAGCCCCCAGTATCATTGTTGACATTATTTTCCCGGAATAACCCACGTAAATACATGACAACTGGCGACGAGGATGAGTTTTACTGTTAACATTTAGCAACAAGAACTTGTCTGTCATTGACTACTTGTAGTTTTCTTCGCCGGGGAGAGCTGCAAATCAGTGATTTTGAGCGGAATTTCCGTCTAGTTTTCGCGGCGTTCGGTACGTACATATACACATAGACTTACCGTTGTTAGTTTGCCTACTCGTGTAGCGTACACACGTACTGTATTTGACTGCAACATGGCTGGTTCGCTCATAGGCAGGATCGATCCATTCGATCGTACTGAGGAGGATTGGCCGACATATATTGAAAGACTAGATCAATATTTTGCCGCAAATGCAATCACTGACGATCGCAAAGTGCCTGCATTTATCAGTCTGATAGGCCCAAAGACTTATGGATTGTTGAAAAATCTGATTGCTCCTGAAAAGCCAAGTACCAAGTCGTACACAGAATTAGTTGATGTGCTGAGGAAACACCTCGCCCCCAAACCGCTTGTTATCGCAGAGAGGTTTCGCTTTCACAAGCGTGATCAGCGTGAGGGAGAATCAGTTACTGCATATCTCGCTGAACTTAGACGATTGACAGAATATTGCGAATTTGGGAGTTATCTCAATGACGCACTTCGTGATCGTCTAGTGTGTGGTCTGCGGGCTGGCAACATCACTAAACGTCTACTCGCTGAAGCTAAGCTCACATTCAAGAAAGCGATTGAGATAGCTACAGCTATGGAAGCTGCTGCTAAAGACGCAGTTGAATTTCAACAACAGCTGAAACCAGAGACTTCGGTCCACAAATTCGCAGCCAAACCGCAACCAACTTCAACATCGACATGCTATCGCTGTGGGAAATCTGGTCATTCTCCCAACCAGTGTCACTTCAAAGACGCTACGTGTCATGGATGCAACAAGAAAGGTCACATCCGACCAGTCTGCCGCTCGAGTGCTAGTCCACAACAGGCTAGTCGCCCACGTAACTCTCGCAAAGGCCGACCACAAGGAGGAAAAGCGAAGGCGAAACCCATGAAATCAGTCGAGGAAGCCAGTAGCGACGACGACATGACCTACGTCGGTCGACTCGGAGTCAACAATCTGGATCATCGCAAAGATAGCACGATCTGGTTGACCCCATCGATTAATGGCACAAATATTCGCATGGAACTTGACACAGGTTCGGCTGTATCTGTAATCTCCAAGGCAGACTACCAGCGACATTTCGCGAATTCGAAACTCGAGTCAACTCCAGTCAAATTGCAGACCTACACTGGTGAAAAGGTATCACCAGTTGGTTGTCTGCAAGTGGACATCTGCTACCAGGAACAACGACACACCGGACTGTTGTATGTTGTTCAACGCGGTGGGCCAGCATTGTTTGGTCGCGATTGGCTCGCCCACTTCAAACTGGACTGGCCGAGCATTTTCGCCATATCATCTGAGCATCCGCCAGTGAACATGGAGGCTAAGTTACAAGCCTTGTTAGACTCGTATCCTGAACTCTTCAAGGACGAAATTGGGGAACGCACAGACATACGAGCAAAATTGACTCTCAAAGATAATGCTCACCCAGTGTTCCTCAAGGCAAGACAAGTGCCATATGCACTGAGACCCCAAGTTGAAGCTGAGCACGCCAAGCTTCAACAGCAGAACATTATCTCACCAGTAGAGACTAGTGAATGGGCCACACCCATAGTGCCCGTTCCAAAGAAAAATGGTGGGGTAAGAATTTGCGGTGACTTCAAAGTGACTGTTAACGCCAACTTGCATGTTGACCATTACCCCTTGCCCAAGATCGACGACGTGTTCGCCACCCTGGCAGGCGGACAGCACTTCAGTAAGCTTGACCTCAAACAAGCATACTTACATATGGTAATGGACGAGGAGTCAAGCAAGCTACTCACTCTCAACACTCACAAGGGACTGTTCAAAATGAATCGACTTGCCTTCGGAGTAGCATCAGCACCCGCAATATGGCAACGGACAATGGAGCAAATCATCCAGGGCATTCCAGGTGTGCAGTGCATTCTGGATGATATGCTCATCACCGGTCGCGATAACACAGAACATCTTCGTAATCTGGAGAAAGTTCTATCTGTGTTGCGCGATCGAGGACTGCGTCTCAACATATCCAAGTGCGAGTTCTTCAAGAGCAAGGTAGTCTTCTGTGGTCATGAAATTGACGCACGGGGACTACAAAGACGCAGGACAAGATCAACGCGGTCAAGAACGCACCCCGACCTACTAATGTTGGGCAGGTTCGTTCCTTCCTCGGACTCATCAACTACTACCACAGATTCTTGCCTAACCTCTCCACTGTTCTACACCCACTTCACCAGCTCTTGGAGAAAAATCACAAATGGGCGTGGTCTACAGAATGTGAGACAGCATTCGAGCAGGCAAAAACTCTGATCACATCTGAGGAAGTCTTGACCCACTACGACCCAAAGTTGCCAGTCAAATTAGCTTGCGATGCATCACCGTACGGGCTGGGCTCCGTCATGTCCCACGTAATGCCCGACAACACGGAGCGACCAATCGCATATGCTTCGCGAACATTGTCATCCGCTGAGCGAAACTACTCGCAAATCGACAAGGAAGCCTTAGCGCTCGTGTGGGGTGTCAAGAAATTCAACAACTATCTGTGTGGGCGGAAGTTCACATTGGTGACGATCACCAACCGCTCACGTCAATATTTCATCCCGCTAAGAGCATCCCTGCAATGACAGCTTCTCGCATGGTTCGCTACGCTGTATTCCTTGCCAGCTACGACTACGAAATTGAGTACAAGAGTACCACCAAACACTGTAACGCGGATGGACTTTCGCGAATGCCACTTCCTGAGGTCAGGGTAGAGCACACTGACCCAGATGATATCCTACACTTGTCGCAATTCGACACATTGCCAGTCACCAGTGCCCAAATACGCAAGGAAACTGCTCGCGATGTCGTACTCGCCAAAGCTTACGAGTACACTATGAAGGGCTGGCCTCACTCCCACGACTCTGAACTGAATCCATTCCACGCACGTAGGCATGAACTTTCCGTACACAACGGATGCCTCATGTGGGGATTACGCGTTGTAGTGCCAGCCAAGCTACGCGACAAGGTCCTCATCGAGCTACATGAAGGTCACCTGGGGGTTGTCAAAATGAAAACCCTCGCACGCGGTTACATGTGGTGGCCTGGCATCGACAGTGACATTGAAAAACTTGCCAAAGGTTGTTCTGGATGCCAGCTAGTCCAGCACAACCCTAAGTCAGCACCACTTCACACATGGGAATGGCCCATGTCTCCATGGCAACGTATCCACATTGACTATGCTGGACCGTTCCTCGGTCAAATGTTTTTGATCGTAGTGGTACACACTCCAAATGGCCAGAAGTGGTAAGCACCAAATCCTCCGATTCTTCTCACACCATTGATATTCTGAGAGCCATCTTCGCGAGAAATGGAGTTCCGGAGCAACTCGTGAGTGATAACGCACCCCAGTTTACATCTGATGAATTTCAGATGTTCCTCAAGCGCAACGGTGTGAAACACATCACATCTGCCCCATATCATCCCGCAACAAATGGCCTCGCTGAACGGTTTGTGTAGACATTCAAGCAAGCCATGAAATCAATGACAGGGGAGAAAGGAACCACATCTGCCAAACTGGCTAGTTTCCTGTTGGCATACAGGAATGCTCCTCACTCTACGACTGGACAGTCCCCCGCTACACTGTTCATGGGACGCAACCTTCGTTCGCGATTGGACATTCTGAAACCCAACATTCGCAACCATGTTAGCAGTAAGCAGGTGGATCAAGCAACATCTCACAAGTCTGCTAGTGTGACCCGAGAGTTTCACATTGGCCAGACAGTCTCTGTTCGCGACTACCGCGGTAAGCAGAAATGGATCCCAGGAGTCATACATGCGCGATCTGGTCCACTGTCCTACCAAGTTTGTGTTGGGCCAAACATGATTTGGCGCCGACATGTTGACCAACTCATCGACTCTGACACCGGAAAACCACCTGATCTGAACACACCACATGATGCAGTCCCAGAGATACTTCAACCAGACCCAGTCATCCCTGCATCATTAACCGCTACGCCAGAACAAGCAGTGCCTAGCGAAACACTCACTCCAGCAGAACCACCCTTGCCAGCAAGCCCAAAAGTAGTGGAACGCCGCTACCCATCTCGCAATCGCAAACCCCCAGATAAACTCAATCTGTGACTGTCTAAAAGACAAACCGTCTTGAAACACACGTACAACCATTATGTTTAAAAGGTTTAATTCTTAAAGTTGTATTTGCACTTTCTCTATAAGTCTAGAGACCAGCATGTTAAGTAGATAGTTTAGAAAAGAGAACAAAAAAGTGTTGTGTTAAGCGTTTGCAATGAAAAATGAAAATTGCCATTTCATCCAGGATATATGCAAAATAGACATTATATTAATGTTTATTATCTCACATATTATGCGGCATTTATTCGCAAAACTTGTTGAACTGCTTAGTGCTACTTGCATCAGCATTATTTATCAGCCACTTCACAAGCTTACATAAAAACATGATATGGAGTTTGCTTAACATTTAAATAATCATCTGAATAGTGAGGAGGAAGTGTAATGTATTGTGCATGACCGGAACTGTATGTTGGAACTATATCACTTATGCGCCCATTGATAATCAACTCAGTTATGACGTCAGGTCACGTGAGCATAATAAATCACCTTTCCAATATGGCAGCCCCCAGTATCATTGTTGACATTATTTCCCCGGAATAACCCACGTAAATACATGACAACATGGGTGACCGACCATTCCTCACACATGGTTTTGTATGGTTGTCCAACAAATTGTGGACCGTTGTCGGAGACTATCTCCTTTGACACGCCAAAGATACTGAACGTTGCTGCTGTTTTTAGAGCGACAGATGAGCTTGACGTGTTAGATAGTTTGTGCACCACCATGGTGTGAGAGGTACATCATGAGGTTGGAGTGGTTCCTTCCGTTGGCGGCTTTGATGCACTTTGCATGATTGGCATGATTTGACTAGTTGATTGACGTGGTCATTGATGTTCGGCCAGTAGACGGAGTTGCGAGCTAAGCGTCTCGTCTTTTCGATGCCGAGATGACAAATGTGGAGTTGGGCGAGGATGTCTTGTCTCATTGATTCAGGTATGACTACTTGACGACCCTTGAATATGACACCAGAGGCCAGCCCTAGTTCATCTCTGAATGACCAATATGGACGGATGTCTCGAGGTACATCCTTGATTGATTCAGGCCAGCCAGCGTATATGAATCTCTATAGCTCTCTGAGGACTGGGTCCTTGACCGTCTCGCGTTGGAGGGCGTCCTGCTTGGCTGCGCCAAAGTGCACCAAGTCTAGTTGCTGGGTGCTTATCTGCTGTTCAATGCTGTGAACGTCGACGGCAACATCTTGGGGTACGTCATCATGATCAGTCGGATTAGGGAGTCTGCTCAGTGCATCGGCTATCACCATGGTGCTGCCTGGCTTGTACTCAAAGTCAAACTGGTACCCTTGCACTTTGATTAGTAGTCTTTGCAGACGTAGTGGGGCACTGGTTAGTGGTTTGTTCCATATGGTCACAAGCGGCTTGTGGTCGTCGAGCACCAAAAGCGGCAACCGAAAAGGTATGTGTGGAACTTGATTACACCAAAAACCAGGGCAAGAGTTTCCCATTCGATGTTGGAGTAGTTGGATTGGGAAGTCGACAGGCTCTTAGATGCGAATGCCACTGGCTTTCCATCTTGGATGAGGCAGGCACCGAGGCCTTTCTGAGAGGTGTCAACCTCGAGGGTGGTCTTCAGCTTTGGGTCATAACACTGAAGGCATGACTTGGCTGTGATGGAGTGCTTGAGTGCAAAAAATGCAGCCTGGTGGTCATCTTGCCATATGAACGGGATATCCTTCCGCAGTAGGTTTCGCAAGGGTGCGGCTTTGTTGGCACAGTTGGAAATGTATGAAGACACGAAGTTGACGATGCCGAGGAACCTCTGCAGGTCTTCTTCGTCTGGCGGAGTTGGCATGGCATGTATGTTGGCAACTCTGCCAGGGTCAGGATGAATACCACTAGCTGAGTATAGGGAGCCAAAGAAGTTGATCTGCTTCGTCTTGATATGGCATTTGCTACTATTGAAGACGAGGCCTTTGCGTGTGGCTGTCTCCATGAGGTGAAGGAGATTGGCATCGTGCTCACTCTCAGCGATGCCAACACAGCCTGGTACCTTGCTAATGATGCTATCCATGCACTGCTGAAATATGTCTTGGCTTACCGAAAGACCGAATGGAAGTCGACGAAAACAATATCACCCGAAGGGTGTGCGGAACGTTGTCAGCTCTTTGGATGCATCGTCCAAGTGGACAGACCAGTAGCCAGCCTTAGCGTCAAGCTTTGAGAAAAACATCACTTGAGAGAATGCGGGATTCAGCTCCTCTAACTTAGGTATTTTGTGAGGACACCGCTTGAGGTTGTCGTTCAGACGCTTTGGGTCCAGACAGAGTCGGAGTGAACCATCCTTTTTTACGCTTGTCGTCAGGGAGCTGCACAAGTCGGTGTGGTGTGTAACTCTACGGATGACACCGTCACGTTCCATCTTATCCAATTCAGCCTGAAGTTTGGGTTTAAGGTGTACGCTACACTTGCGAGGTGGGTCTATGCTGGGGTGGGCGTCTTCTTTCAGATGGAGATGTGCTTGTGATTTGAAGTTGCCTAGTGTGTCAAACTGTGTTGGGTACAACTTCTGAAGATTGCCAATGCCTTGGATGCGGTGCGTCTTGATGAGAGGTGTGCCTGTAACTACTGGTTGAGGCATCGAGTGTGTGTTGTGGCTGGAAGATACTGCATGTATCGTTACTAGTCGTAGCTTTCTGCTCATCGGCAGGCCAGCAACGGCAGGACCGGGTACATCAACTATGAAGAATTTCTCCCGGGACCAATCGCCACCCTTGTAACTACACATCAGGTGTATGTATCCATGGCAGGTTATTCTAGTATCTAGAACCGTTATACGCAGTGAGTTGCGTGTCGGTTGGTGAGGCTAGTGACGTCCATCGGCTACCGTAGATTTGTTGCATCGTACGGACTGGTAGTGTATTGGCGCTGGCTCCTGCGTCCACTTTGACTTTCAGGAAGTGTCTTCCGAGTCGATCTGGGCAAACGACGTCTAGTGTAGTGAAGACTTCGGTAGGCCCTTGCAGCTGTCTCAGAGTGACACACATGTTGGACACAGTGATGGAGTTAAATGTGTCACCCGGTAGGGTCAGGTCATCGTCGTTAATGAGGTCTTGCTGCTCCCGTTGGTCATTCTTGTAGTCATTGGCCCTGGAACTACCACGGTTTGGCGATTTCTTGCGGGGTCTTTGTGACCTAGATGTGCTACGCGCTTGGCGGCGGTGCTTGCTTCGTGATCTGCTGGGTCGACGGCTTTATTAATCGCGATTCGCTTTTCGGCAAAATCTTGCCCAGTGGCCCTTGATCCTGCATGATTTACACGTATCATGATATGCGGGACAGCTGCGGGGTTAGTGCGATAGGCCGCAGTGTTTGCGAACAACGCATCGAACGCATGGCATCTACTGATGCAGAATCGTTTGCAGCTTTGCGTGCTGAGTTATCCGAAAGCAACTCGAGGCATTGCTTGCTTGCCGCGACAGCTTCATGGCGGCGTCCCTCTTCTAGCATCACTTCTATCGAGTAGCCTCGCGGTTTC